AGTTTATGATTATTATATTGATCAGTACAAGATTTTTTAATCGAAGAGACATGACTATCTTGGACGGATCGGAAAAGAAACAGATCATGTTTGAAGATTAGCGAGTTCCAATCATTGTCCATGATGAGCTATTTTGAATCACACAAGCATTACCAAAGAATGTCAGTTTATACTAAGAATGAATTATGAGTTTGTTGATAGAAATTAGATTGAATTTGAAAGAAGGAACACAAATGACATCATGTAGTACAAAGGAAGATGATAAGCATACTTGACCAATATGATTAACAATGGTCGTAGTGCCATATAGCATTTGTACTACTACACTAGAAGTAGGTATATAAGTTTGAAAACATCTAAATGAACATGAGATATGATCACTTGTGCCTATATCTAGTATCTAGGTACATGAATTAAAAATTGGAAATGATGCTTTTTGAATGACAATAGTAGGCGATTGGAAATACTAACCGTAAGACAGGTAGAAGGGGTAATGGTGTTTAAGGTTAAGAAGTTGAAGCCTATGAATATTGAACACTTAAAAAAAAGTCATGAGCCTAAAAACTTCCTTTTGAGTAAGAGAAACTATAGCCAAAGTAGGCTAAGCCTTTTGAGCGAGAATCCTAAATAGAAATACAATCATATTGATTTGAAGATATGGATGCGACATTGTTGATATATCTAGAAGAACATGCATTTTTCTAGAACTAGAATTTGCATGCCCACCATTTCTAGAACCAAAACCAAAAATCCCTTGGCTTTGGTAAACTTGAAATTTTTCAAGAAACCAATAATCCTATAACACATATCCTTATTGTGGCTAGGTTTACCATAATAAGAATAAATAATATGCATCCTTCTTTTGTTTCTAGAATGAATAGCCATGGCAGAATATTCGTTTAAAGGTTGATTAATAACTTACACGGTCCTCTAACACTTTTCTTTCTAGGCTAGATTATAAACTTCATCTAAACTTGGAATGGGTTTCATAACAAGAACTTAAGACTTTAGTGAAGCGAATGATTCATTCAATCCATTCAAGAACTTAAACACATAATCTTTCTCTTGAATGTCTACAAATTTCTAAAAAAACTCATTATTGCAAGTTTCACGAAGCGATGTGGTAAGGGTCTAAAGCTTCTCAATTCCTTCCATACTCTATTCGGTTCGGTGAAGTAAGCGACCACGTGTCTAGTACCTTGATTGATTAAGCAAAGAGACCATTGAAGATTGCGGATCCGAGACTTGTCCAGTTGAGAAAATCTTTTCTTTAAATTATTTTGAAAAAACTCGTTCATGTAAGAAGCAATAACTTATTATAGCAAACCTGGTCATAGTAACAATTAACTTATCATAGATTAGGGTATGATATGGACTACATACAAAGGAGTGATAATTCTACCATGCATATGTAATTGGATAATATGAGATGTTTAGATGCCCTTAAGAAAGGATATGATATGGACCACATACAAAGGAGTGCTAATTCTACCATGCTTAAAACCAGCAACTCGGCATCATTAAAGCATCCACTTATCCTTAATTCAATTTCTTTAGTTGGATAAGCTTTTTTAAAAAATATGTAACGAGAAAAATTACTTATAGCTTAGGGATTAGAATTATTGATTTACAAAAAAGTTGAATGGGATTTTCTTGCCTTCACAACTTCCTACCTAGTTTTCATTGGCCATGCTTCCTTGTACTCCATAGTTTCGGTCTCGCGGGGCTCTAAAAGCCATGTAATGAAAGGTATTTATAATTATTAATAGTAGAGTCGGTGTAGTGGGTGATGAGTTTTTCATTACAAAATTTATTTATAGGTAGTCAAGAGTTTCACATCTATCATAAAAAATTCATGCATTCATGTATGATGGTAAATACTTAAAAAAAAAACTATCTTTTTATTTTTATTATATTAAAAAAAAAACACACGAATAACTTAGCATCATAACTCATAGGTAACATTCGTTTGTTCTTTTTATTATTTTAGAAGGCTTCATGTAACCTTTTAGGCTCCAAAACCATCAACTTCACTACCGGGCAAGGTACTTTAACCCAAAATATGAAGTTATTGTTTCTCACTAAACAAGTTTTTATCATAATACTTGGATTATAGAGAAATTTTATAATACATAAGGAATAACTAATGACATGCACAGTAGTTATTTTATAGATCCACTTTGAGGAGAGAGATAGATATATTGAATTACATCTGGATCCCTCAAAAGAGATAAGAAGATTTTTCACGTTCACTCAAAAAAATTTTTAATTTTCTCTCTCCTGTTTCTCTCCCTCTCTCTCTCTCTCTCTCTCTCTCTCTTTTTTTGTTTATCTCTCTCATCAAAATAGATTTATAGAATAATTATTTTATATGCCACTAGTTATTTCTTGCATAATATAAAAATTATCTAGATTATGGGGTAGTTGGGTTGGAAGTTTCTTACAAAATAATGGGATTCATAACTTATCATAGTAAACCCAAAAATTGAAGTAACACTAATGGGATTCATTTCTTTCTCCAGTCTTTTGAGGAAGGACTAAAATGCAATGTTTTTTTCTTAACAGTTGGATTATGGGGTAGTTGGATTGGAATTTTTTATTTTTTTTATTTTTTGTTAACTTATCATAGTAACAATTAGCTCTATCCCGTCATCTTCTTCAAGTGCTTTATTGAATTTGTCAAACCAAAAATACATGGTAGATTAAGATCAAATAAGAAACCACTAAGCTCAAATTGGAACGAAGATGACAATTAACATCAACATTGTTTAAATTTGGTTGCAATCCCATGTGAAATAAAGGTTTTTAATATGCAAATTTAATTAAAAAGAAACCCTAAAGTATATAAAAATAAAAGTTTAAAAATTTAAATTACTCTATTAATATATAAGTTTGTTGCAGTAAGTATATCTCAAAAGGGAGTTTTGATAGTTCAGGTTGAATGGTTCTTATGGAAACTAACATAATTGATGTTTTGTAATTTTTACTGTCTTTTCCTTTCTTATTAGCAAAGTCTATTGCCTAGCTTGCAGCGAATCCGTTGAAAAAATGTAGTTTTATTTGATTAATTAAATTCGTTTCTTTTAGGAGAAAAGAAGGAAAAAAAAACTTATTAAGATATTAATTATGAGAACTTCATTATTATTATTAATATGTTATATTTTATGATCTATAACTAAAACATAGTTATATTTGTTTTGGAAATTTTATTTTATAAATTTAGAACCCAACAAAACTAATTAGTTCAATATATTCGACTTTTTAAATAAAATTCACCTAAGTATTCCGATGGTTAAACATATGCAAACAATTCTATAAGACTTCATAAGGAAAATGAAAAATGAATTTATTTTTTAATTCTTTTTTAAAAAAAAAACTTCTTATTGATCAATATTGTTCAAGTTAAAAATTCAAGATATTCATATGAGATAGATAAATAAATTTAAAAAATCACAATATCGAATGCAAACTAAAAAAAAAATTCACAAAAACAAATAAATTTATATCTCCAAATCGCTGTACATTCGAAAATTAAACAAAACAATACTTTGATGTTATATATAATACGAAAGAGTTTTCTTTTTGCAAGTAAAGGCCAGAGATAATAGAACAAGAAATGGTAAAATAACATCGAATAAAAATGGCCGGAGATAATGACAGAAAATCACAGGCGGCTATTACCAGTAGTAAAAAATTCTAGAATTACATATTTTAGACACTATGAATATCATAATTATCAATTATCTTTTGATTTATACTTTGATATATGTTAGTCTACGTTAGGCTTACCACTTTAACTTCTATATACTAATTCGGGATAATAGTTTGTTTCATGACTTATCATAGTAATAGTTAATTCTATCACATCATCTTCTTTTTACGAACTTTATTGTACAGTTTAAAATTGTCAAACAAAAATTTCATTGTGCATTAAGATCAAATAGAAAACCACTAGTCTTAAAATGGAATGAAGATGACAATCAACATCAACATTGTTTAAATTTGGTTGCAATCCCATGTGAAATAAAAGTTTCTAAATTCAAATTTAATTTTAAAAAGCCATTATATTTTTTTAAATGAATATTTTATTGATGAATAATATTTGGACATGCGAAAAAAATAAAGTTTAACAATAAATAAAATGTAGCATGAGCCAAAAAAAAAAAAAAATCAAACAAATTAAATTTGGTGATACATAATGATTAACAAAAAAAAAAAAGAAGATAAATTTGAATAATCCTAACTACAAAGAATAAGGATTTGTACTTTTAGCTACATTTTCTAGATATAAATGTAACAGAAACATTTAATATCATAATTTATGAAAGAAAATATAATTGTTATAATTTATGAAAATCTAAATAGTAATGGTTTTCTACATTTAAATAATAAAAATAGAATATATATGAGTGGGATTACCAACTATATATGAGTGGGAATAACTTCCATATATATATATATATATATATATATATATATATATATTATACAATAAAAACTAGAAATTGGACAACAGCAAATACAACAATAACTTCTATAAATATCAGATCACCTCCCCCTCCCCCCCCCCCCCCCCAACAATTATTCTTATCCTCAACTAGTTACACAAACCTTCATTTCAGCAAAAACATGGCATGTTTTCTTCTTTTCTGCATTGGTGCTTTGTTCCTTTCCCAAGCAGAAGCCAAACCTAGATCTCCCCCTCCTCCACCACCAACTCCTTCTTCCGATCATTTTTGGATTGTCCATGCCTAAGGGCTTTTGCTCAATGCCGGGTATAAATTGTAATCCCTCCCACCTCCCCCCCCCCCCCCCAACAGCAGACAAGCTAACTCTTCATGGCTGGCGGCCTGTCGATAAGAACGGCTACACTTTGAAAAACTGTCAGAATACTTCGAGTATTGAATATTTGGTAAACTCATTCTCATTTTTTTTATTTTAATATATAGTTACCGTCTTTTGCTTTCTGCGTTTGAGTGTCATAATTTTCCAACACAACTATGGTTTCCTATTGTGCCTGCACGGAGTTTATGAGAGATGAGCCATTTTACAGGAGAATGTTAAGTAACTGGCCTAACCTGCAAGCAGGACTTGCTGACAGGGATGCCCATATACAATTCTGGAGTTATGAGTTCAAAGTTCATGGCAGTTGTTCCAACTACGTACCCAAAATATACCTCAGAAAAGCTTTGGATTTGAAGGACAAAATCGACATATTCCAAGCTTTGAAAGCCCATAGGGTGGTTGCTGGCGCCGCCTACCAAAGGTCGGCTTTTGAAACTGCAATAAAAAATAGAATTGGCACCACTGCCTTTGCCATGAGCTGTATCAACAAGAATGGAACCAAAATTCTCTACGAAATCACTATTTGCACTGATGCGGCTAACGCCATTCCATGTTCCCAAAGAAATCACATGAGCAAGGACAACTGCGGAAAGGGGAACATAAAGTTTGAATAATTATTGATTGTACTTGGACAGCATGCACTAGTTGTCCACGACAAAATATAAATTACTTTCTGATTTCTAATATATATGGTATTTGATTATGTAATAGTCATAAAGAGCTTTTTATTTCCACTACAAGTTTCTCACATGGCCATATTTTTCTGTCTTTGGTTCCAATTTACTACAAGTAAATGAATGAAAGCTCCTTAATTAATCGAATCTCTTTCTGTGTCAGTTGTCCTAATGGTTAATTTTGCAAGGTACAAGATGATCATGTGATGTTAGCTCAAGCTACATAAGGTCTTCTTGCCACTTGTACTAATCACATGCAATTTTCACAACTATGAAAACTTTAAATTCTGTCCATAACAGTTCTTCTTTTTATTTACCTGAGAATTACATGAACAATGAATTGATATGCATGCGGCTATCAAATTGATAAGCATGCATCCTATATATATATAGGATTTACCATGCGTATTGCATTCTTCCCGTGGGTGATCGAAACCTCCATATGTCTAAATGGATCAACCCTAATCTTACCTATGTGGTTCTGGGCACGTTGCTTGCTCGGATCGAGTATAAGACCTAGATTTATGTATTTTATCTATCTTTTGACTCAAAGGTCTAAACTAATCCATCAATGTTTGTTGAACACATAAAATGATCTTGACATTCTAAGCGGGCTTTGTATATAGCCAAAAGGGGGTATGGCAAGGGTATGAAATCCAAACTTCTAGGGATTAATACTATATGTCTCATGTTTAAAAGCATATAGTTAGCTGATTTTTTAAGCCCATACAACAAAACCTTCATTATATAATTCAAAATTAATCAAGTAATAATTTACAAATATAAAAAAAATTAATTTTATTGTTCTTGACTTTCCTTTATCCGAAAATAAAATCGTACTTAATGCAAACTGTTGCTAACTAACATATGCGGGGCTCCCAAAATTATTGAGTTAAAATTTATTTGAAAATTTTGTTTATTTAGGAATATGAGCTATTTATTAATTTAAGAGTTGTCACCTAGTATTAAAGGAATTAAGAATATAAAATATACATTGGTTTAGAGATTTTAAGATAAGAAGTTGGTTATATCTTTGTGAAGATATGAATCATCTAAAAGCACTATTTCCTAAGAAAGGTATCATATCTAGTTTACTTCTAAAATTTATCTCCTAAAAATTTTCATTTTTGCTAAAAGTGATCCTAAGTCAAAATTTTTATTTTTATTTCCTTGCCAAATTATTATTATTATTATTATTATTATTATTATTTTGTGGAATCATATTGAATTGATCTTCGGACTCCTTCATCGGACGTTTCATTAATTCAATATCGGATCCAGTTTAACTCTCGATGTAGCTAGTATATCGAATAACGACCTATTTACTAATATGTGATTGATTTGAGTTAACATCAATCCCTATTTGATATGAGACTTTATTAATTTTTTCTTAGTATTTTCTATTATTTTCTTTGCTTTTTTCTTTCTTTTACCTATTTTCTCTCCCTTATTTTTCTTCATTTTTTTTCTCTCTTGTTTTTTGTTCTTCTCTTCTTCTTTTATTTTATCAATTTATCATCATCATCATCATCATCCGATCATTTTTTATTATTTTTTTATTGGTGAAAAATTGTCATTAATCCTTAAAAATTAAGAAATTCAACTACTCGTCCACCTATTTATTATCTAATCTAATTATTGAAATAAATAACAAAAAGGATTAAATGGTGCTATTGGGTTAAAATAGGGGTATTGGCTTAGTGGGGTCACTAGGCCCTCAGCCCATGCTAGGTAGGCCAACCTCTTAAATCTCTTGAAATTTCCCTTTTTGCCCTATTGCCTCTCAATTGCTCTTTCTTGTTTTCAAAAACCCTCTAATTCTCTTACTCGCCTATCTTTTTTCTTTTTCTCCCCTTTAATTTCCTATACCTCTCTCTTTTTCTCTCGTTTTTCCATAATTGTCTTTATCTCAATTGCTCTAAGATTTTCCACAGCTTCTCCTCTTTATTTAAAACCCTAAACTTGATCCTTACTTATACCCAAGAATCCTTCGCCTCACCCTTATGATCAATTTCCTTAAGTCCAAAACTCCCTCCATAGTTGAACAAACTCTCTAGTTTGTTTTCGGTTTTGGTTCTACATGAAAAAAGCAAAAAATAATTGTGTTTTATGCCTATGCATTGTGTTTTTCTTGTTTTGGTTTTTGTTATGTAGGTTGGTGAAAGTGTAGAAGCTATAATTACAAGTGGCTGCAGTGCGAGCTGGTTTTGTCCATCCGGCCATTAATGAGGATGAACGAGTGATAGAAGGTGGTATGGTACAAGATAGGCATGCCATGATAAAGATGGAGAGGATTCGAACAATAGGTCATTCAAGTTTATTTCGAATTGGTCTCATCATTTGTTCATGTAAATTCACTATAAGAATCTACCAATTAACGATAAATAATTTTGTTCCTCATTGCTGCAAATCCATTGAAATATTCAATTAGCAATGGGTTTACGATAGAAAAAATTCTACAATCAAAATGATTGTCTCTAACCCTCACGACAGATTAAATAGTATCCGTCACTAAAATAGTGATGGATAATTTGTTGCTAATATGTATTTTCTATCATAAAATGAAAAAAAAAACTCGTTAAGAAACATCTCCAAACCATCTCAACCTCATATGTAATCCATCGATAACTAAAGATAGACAAATCATCACCGGTTTTCGAAGCTCATACCCATATCTAACCCACTTCTATTTTGGTAGCTAAATAGACGTGATTTTGTGACTGATTTGTTTCCCTCATTGTATTTTTGACCAAATTTAATTTATTGTTTTTGAATCCATCACAATTCCATTGCTAATTCGTCTAAAAAAATTATTTTGATTTTTTGTAATTAAATTTTTTATTTAATTTTAAAGATTTTGATATTCTCAATAGTAACTCATAATTAAAATAAATAATTTATCATAAAAAATTATTTTTTATGGAAATTAAAATATTAAAAATTGAAATAAAATTTATATTTTTTAAAAAAATTGTTAGTACATAAGGAAAAGATAAAAAAACATAAAAGAAAAAGTAAAAGACGCTTCATATCATGCAATTCATTCTCATCTTCGTAGGGCTCGGTGGAAGGGTTAGTGGAATCCTGGACTTGCTCGAGAGGGATGCCTGTTGTCTTACAACTCACCGGGAGGGACGGTTTCATCTTAAGGCTCGGTGGGAGGGATGCCGGTGTCCTAGGGCTCATTAGGAGGGACTCGAAGTCATCACTTATGGAGGGGTTAGTAGGCAAGCGAATAGGTTGTGCCATCCTCTCTAATGTCAATGAAATCAAATACATCTTACTCTCCATCCCTTGGATCTTCACCGTTGCTATGTAATAATATTATTATGTTTCTCTAACCTCTTTTGCATTACCCTCATCGTCTTTACGTATTGAGTTTGAGTGTATTCAAGAGTATTGTGGTCGGGATACTATGATGCTACAAAGGAGTTTTTGGTGCCAACTCGATTAAGATAAATAGCAGTCTACCACCGACTCAATCTCGTAATGCCTTTTTGTCTTCCCTCCTACGAGTATCGAAGTATATGGCATCCGTGTGGATCCGTGGCTTTTCAATTCTAGCCTCTCGTTGCTTCCTTACAGCTTGTATCATATCCTCTACACACTCCTACATAATAAAAATAATTATAATATTAATACAAAATAAAATAATTTTTTAGATTATATTTCATATGTATAATATAAAAATGAAAAAAAACTTACCATTGTAAACTAGGTCATAAATCGATGAAATTCTCATCTCTCCGCTTGCGAGTGACTCCAAATAACTCTAAATTTACGTAAATTTATAGGCTTATAGCCTAATTTCATAGCCTAAAAAAAAGACATAAATAATAAATGAGATGTAAATATTAGCTTTGTAAACATTTAATAATATAGGATTTACCAAGTAGTAGGTTTACTTAGAAATAGATATGGAGCCTTCTATATGCCTAAACGGTCCTAAACCAAGCACCACTAGTCTCGCGACATTAATATGCAATGCTTGCTATGAACATGCATGACGATCGTGTGTGGTAAAATCTCACTTCCATGAATCCAAAACCTTTTTTCTAAAAAAAAAAAAAAAAAAAAAAAAAAAAAAAAAAAAAACTTGTTTTCATTCGTGCCATGCTTGTGGACGAAGTCGAGTAGCACTTTCTAGCCAAAGCCTCCTAAGCATCTTAGGCTTGTGCCTTAATGGTCGAATCTCGGTAAAAATACTTCTACATAAACAAAAAAAAAAATTATTTCATGTTAAATTAATATTTTTAATGCAATACAAATAAATAGTAGAATTTTTTTGTCTTCTCTAAAACAGACTTCCAAACTAAGCCATTGACGTCTAACCGCTCATTAAAAGTCACGATTATTTTTTTAAAGTAATCTCTCTAACATGATAGGACACTATTAAACACTATAAAAAAAACATGTAATAATTATTGAAATGATATATTAAAATAAAGAAATAGTAGATACATCGACGTATGAGATCCTTCTTGTGAGAGGTCGAGGAAGCTTAGCGGCTTTATGGGCTAGACGAACGATTGTGGATGAAGACATCGGAATCGATGCAAAACTATTGACTTTGAGGGAGGAATAAGTCAAACGTCCCATGTTGTGGGTGTTAGTATAGATACCCAAGATCTAATCTTATTTGGATAATTTGATGTATTGTAACATTACATTTTAATATTAATAAAGAAGTCTTTTCATTAATTCTTATTTATAATTTGATAGAATTAGATAGAAGTTCATATGATATGCATTGCATTAATGATTGATCAAGAGATGTGAGAAAAACATCAATACATTTAAATGATATCATTAAATATCTCAATTTATAGCATTATCGAAAATAGACATTGACTATATAAGGTAAGACTTGTGAGTGCTATACTTTTATTATAAGATAAATTCTAGAGAACATATCACTAAACATGACTCTCCATGAGAAC